CAACCAGCAATCCTTTATTCAAAAATACTTACGTATTCCAAGTCTTCCCAGGAAATGTGTGCAGTTTTTTGTCTTGTATGTCCACGCATGAGTATTTTATTTTAGGCAACTTTGTCACGGCCGTTTGCAAGTTTTATTATATGTGTTGCTGAAAAACGTTTCAAAAACAAAGAAAGCAAAATAGGAAATTAAAACAAACTTAAATAGAAAATAATAATAACAATAATTTAAATAATTTGTGAACTGTTTTTATTTTCGTTTCTTCATTGTGGTTGTTAATTTCGGCAACAATATTCGGTAAGTCTAAGCGAAAAAAAGAGAAAAAAAAAAAAAGAGTTTTAAACATTAAAAGGAATGATTTTTCTATATTTTATTTGTTTTTTTTTTAAAGAGGAAAGCGAAAATATAAATTGTCATCTGTTAGTAAATATATTTGTATACTTTTAATGTAACAAGTATATATATGTAAGGTTGAGTTAAGTGATTGCGATTTGCAAACTCTGGAAAAATATCTGGTCTTCAAAATTTTAGTTAATGCAAAGCTGTGTACTTAGTTTTCAAGGAGCAAATTATTATGAGTTTGTTAGGAAGAAAGTTATTAAAAACAAAACAAAACAACAAACTTTCAACTACAAAAGTAATAACACTCTAGTCACTAACTGCATTATAAAAGTAATTAAACTATAATAGTGTTATTATTTTTATAAAGCACTTATTACTTTTAAAGTTCATTCTTTGTTTAAACAACATCTAGAAAAAATAAAGCAGATATTCAAATATTATTTAAAAGATCAGGAACTTTTAAAAAACTTTATAAACGCGTACTTTAGAACAAATTTAAATTGTTTCACCCCTTAAAAACAAAGAACACGGTTTTGTATAAACTAAAATTTTGAAGACCAAATATTTCTCCAGATTTTGCATTTCGCGATTGCTTAATTCAACCCTTGATTGAATAATTAAATTTAATATTGCATTTTTAAAAATGTTTGATATTGACAAATTTCAGGCTTGGTCGGGAAGCAGGAGCGATCACTCTAGATTGCTGACCACGGAAATAATATTTAGTTGCGAAAAGCTGGCCAGATTTTTTGATCGTTTTAAAACAACAAAAACAAAAATGCGAAGATTAATTGCACCAATGAGAGACAATTACAAAAAAACAAATTAGGAAAATAAAATATCTTTTAACGCAAAAAAACTTTACGGAAAATAAATTACGTTTAGAACAATTATTTTCGAAACATCGCTCTTTTATAATTTTTTTAAAAAAATTAAGCGATGTTTTTTATATTAAGTAACATCTTACGTTTACTTAAAGAACATTTTCTTTATTTATCAAAGTTTGCAAGTTTTAGTTTTATCTGAGCTAAATTATTTTATAAATAAAAAAGTTAATTTGTTTAATACCTATTCTATGTTTCGCGTAGTTTGAAAAGTTTAACATATTTGAAGCGATTCTTCTTAGTAAGAAAAACAAATGAAATAATTAAGTCATTGAATTACTAAAGAAATTAAATTTACTAGATAGAAATCAACTAAAAAAGTTAAAAATACTTTTAAGACAAGGAAGCGAAACAGCTTCATAATATCGCTAATGATGTTTAGTGAGTGGGCTTTTTAATTTTAATTAGTATATAAAGCAGAAAAAAGTACAATGAGTTTTTGAGAATGACAACTTAATCGAAAATAATTCGATTTAGTGAACCAATATCTAGAAACTTTTGTTTACATCTAATAACTTGCTATATATATTTATGTTCTTTTGTGACCTCAGGCGCGGTGCTTGTTCATCCGCGAGTTACTTTAAATGCATAGTTTGTGTTTAGTAACCAGAAACTTCTTACATGTTTGCTACATAATTAGTTTAATTAACTTAAATGATTATTAATAACTTCATTGAAAACGCAATTGTTTTTGTAAGTCTTTGTTTACAAACTAAATCGCTAAAAAACAGATATACAATATTACATTTACATAATAAATACATACTCTTTAAATAAGTATATACTAATAAAATCTAAAATTTATAATAAACTTTCAAAATTTTGACAATCTAAATAATATATATTTAAAACATTTATTTATGTAAACAAATAATAATAGTTTAAAAGATTTACGGCTATGCAGATGTGGCTCCGAGAATGAGCGATAGAATTAATAATATATTCTTATAACAATCTATGCTAGAAATCTCAAAACGTAACAAATCATGAATAAAACATTTCTACAACATTTCAACATAATACTCTAGAACTTTATTTGGCTAAGTCAGTGTATTTTTTAGCCAATAGAATTAGTTTGTTCGTTAATTTGGCGGATTTTTAGAGTTCGCGAATATTCTTTTCATTCTTCCGCACCAAGATGTTTTGAGAACATTCAAGTTTTTTATGTTTCCATGTTTGTCCGTAAAACCAAAATTTATTGTTTCGTTCATAAACTTAAATGTTCTCAAAACAACTAAAAAATCTGGCCAGTTTTTCGCAACTAAATATAATTTCCGTGGTCAGTATTCGAGAGCGATCGCTCCCGCTTTCCGACCAAGCCTGAATTTCCTTCTTTTTTCGACATTTGCATAAATGAATTAAAATATGTTAAATTTTGGAATTTTTAATATGAAAATTTAACATATTTAAGCCCTAATTGAAAATTTAAGAAATGATTATTTCTTAAATTTCAAATTGCGGCTTTGAAACTACAAATGATTTTTTATTTAAAAAAAATTAGAGAGTAACAAACAAAAATATTTATTAAAAGTTTATTATTTTATCATTAAAATTATATTGTTGTATATATCTTTTATTTAAAAATAATTGCTGTGATTTATTGCATTATAAAAATAAAAGTTTAACTTATATTTTATGCAAATTTTTGATGCAGTCGTTTGTTGAAAATATAATTTTGAGTAAAAAATAATGTTTAGGAAGGAAAACCGAAAAAACAATGTACCAAACATAATTGTCATTCAAACTTTTGTTACAAATTTTTTTACATAAAAGTCATTCAAAAGTTAATGTGACTTTTTTTAAAATCAGTTACTTCTTTTGTCTTACCACTTATTGATTAATTTAACCGAAAATGCTTACTGCTTACATAAAATTGCTTAAAGCGTACATAAATTGCTTTACGCGTAATGCTTTAAAACAAGTCCTGATGTTGTGTTTATATTAAAGAGAGTGATTTAAAAAAAACGCTTGGGCTAAATTTTGACGATTAAAAAAAAAAAGAAATGCATACCAAGAAAAACTAACTTTTTTGTTTTAGTCAAAGCTTACCTTCTCAGTTTTGTTGTAGGCCAAATAGTCTTCAGAATATATGCCATCTACAGACTTGATAATTTATTTAAGCGCCTTTTATTTCTAAGAGTTTTAGTACATGACATCAATGATTTTTTTTTGTTTATTTGTTTAAAAAATTGTTGATGTAAACAAACAAAAAAATCAATAATGTCATGTACTAAAACTTATAGGAATAAAACGCGCTTGAATAAATTATCAAGTCTGTAGATAGTGGCATATATTATGAAGACTATTTGGCCTACAACAAAATGGAGAAGGTGAGCTTCAACTAGAATAAAAAAGTTAGTTTTTTATGGTATGCATTTATTCTTCTGTTTTAATCAAAGAAATTTAGCTCAAACATTTATTTTTCATTATTCTCTTTAATATAAACGCAACATCTCTCAGTGGTTTTGGATCCCTTTAAAGACTGGAAAAAGTTTAAAAACCTATTTCTAAAAAGTATTTTTATTTTATTTAATAGACTGCCTTCCCCAACCAAACCCTCAGATGATGTAGCAGCACTCCCTTGTAGTAGCAAGCTATAAGATAGTTGATGTAGCAACTTTACCTTGTAGCAGCAGGCTATAAAATAGTTAATGTAGCATCACTCCCTTGTAGCAGCAGGCTGTAAAATAGTTGATGTAGTAACATGTTTTACAGTAAAAAAATAAAAATAAAAACATTCTAAATGTTTTTTTTTGTTTTTTTTTAAAAAAATGTTCAGTATGTTTTTATAAACATTCAAAATATTCAAGTCATTTAATTTGTGTTTTTGTGGTTTTTTAATAAGACAATAAGTTTAATTAGTTTCCTCAATTAAATTAAATTAATATTTTTAATTTTTATGGATTATCTTTTAAATGGAAAAATATTTTGAATTTTTTTTTAACAGTGTAGAATTTTTTGCTCTATCATACCGTATAACTATTTGGTATCGTAACTAATTGGTTTATTATTTTAAAATGTTAACACGAGTTAAAAAAAAGTTTCTATTAGTTATTTTAAATTTTATTCACTGCTTATCTTCCTATTTTGGAAATAAAAACTTTAAATTATTTTGCCCCTATTAAAAAAAAAGTGTTAAAAGGATTCTTAAAAATGCATACCCAAAAAATAGAGCTTGTCAACAGAAAAAATCATTAACTATATTTATTTGCTGATTTTTGAAACTTTTTCATAATATTTTTAAATAAATTTTCAAAGCTATTATACTTAATTTTCTTGAAACTTCTCCCTAATATTTATAAATAAATTTTGAAATTTATTATACTCAATCTTCTCGGAACTTCTCCCTAATTTTTTTAAATAAATTTTCAAAGCTATTATACTAAATTCTTTTCTGTTTATAACTATTCTATAAAATCTAGTTTATTAAAATTATTTAAGAAATATTTCATATTCCTTAAAAAAGATTTTTCAAAAAAAAAAGATCTATGGATAGCATCTGTGTACCTTTAAATTTTTTTTTGACAGAGTACCATGAGAATGTCATTTTTTGTCAATTTGTTAAAAGGCGGAAAGAGTTGTATTTTTAAAATAAAGTTACATATAAAATACAGATATACTTCTACTTTATTGTTGTTATAATCTTTAGGAATAGTTTTTAAGCACTTTTTATAGACTTTTCTCAGTCCACACACACACACACACACACACACACACCACACACACACACACATTTAATGAATGTTATTATAAAGTTTACTTGAATATTTTTAGAGCAATACGAGTCATTTTTAAAGTTTACACAAGATCAAATAATGAGAAAGTATCAGCATTCATCTTATAGCTGTAAGCATTTTGTTTATTATAGTTTTTGCTAAATGATTGCTTAGATTTTATGTTAAATTTTTCGTTTGTTTACAATAATATTTGTAATGCAAAGTGGTAGTAAAAACATGAATTGTGATGGTCCAAAGATATTTAGCAATCTTACTGATCACTGATTTTCTGTACGAGTTTTGATTGTAAAATTGTTCCTTTAAAATTTTTTTGAATCGACTGCCTAATTCTATTGTTAACTTCTTAAATTGTTTTTAAATTTCAACATAGTTTTATCTGCAAGTTGTTGTTAGGATTTTCAACCACTAGAATCTAACCGAGTTAGCGTCATTTAAAAAAAGTAGAGTCAAGGTTAAGGTTAGGTAACTCTAATTGTTGCATAACCATGAGATAGTAAAAATTTATGTTGTCGTAGGGCATTCTAGTTGCCAAAGTAGGTTGCCAAATGGCATTCTAATCATTTTAAGCGCAACAAAAAAGTGTGAAGACTTGAAAAAAGTTAACATAAAGATAAAATTAAATGTTTTTCATTACTTAAAGTAATCTAAATATTAATAAGTATGACATCTTTATTTAGGGAAAACATGGAAAAGTCAGAGAATTCAGATATCTGCAAAAAAAAAATTAGGGGATTATCAGGGAAATTAGGTTAAATTTTGGAAAAAATCAGGGAAAAATGGCTCTTCATTAAACTTACATAACTTAAATAAGTTGCATATGGTACACATTTTATTTTGCAGATAGTTTTATGATAAATTTAATGTGGGTTGCATTATTGTTTATATTTTTGCTGTTGTAGAGCATTTTCCTAAACGAATCTAGGTCTAATTTTTGTGAAGTTGAGTTTGAGTAACTTTAAATTAAATCAGGGAAAACAGGTAGAAGATCGGGGGAAAGTCAGGGAAATCCACCTTAAAATATTGGCAGACACCCTGATAAACCAAAAGACTTAAATTAACTTAACTTTCTCAATGATATGTTAGTGTGAATAGCTCAATGGTTGTTTTTTATAATAATAACATTTTTAATTATTTTTTCAAAATTATATTTTGTATGATGTTGCACTTTTAAGTCACATAATTCTGGATGAATATCATTTTTAAATAAGCATAAGCAATTTTTAAATAAGCATATGTCATTTCTGCACCATTAGTATTAGTTAAGAAATAGTTGTTTTCAAATTTCATATGCTTGTAAATTCTTATATATAGTAATTTTTATATATAGTAATAAGTATTTTAGTCCTATATTTATATTTATTAATCAACTGCTGTTCATATATGTATTATTTTAAATATGTAAGTGTTTCTGTTGAATTTATTATTTTTGTTGAAGTAAGTTTGCATCTATTTTTGTTGCTGTGTATAAAACAATAATATAAATTTATTTTGCAGTTTATTAGATAATAATATAAAGTCCATTTGCAGTTTATCAAATAATAATATTAGGTTTATGTTGCAGTTAATCTAATAACAATATAACATTATGTTTATCAAATAATATGACTTTTGTTGCAATTTATGAAATTGCCTTAAATTATGTTTAAAGTACATCTTCCATCTTTTTTGACAATTTTGCAAAATAATCAAGATGATTAATTATATGGTCTGCTACTAAAATGTATATATATATATATATATATATATATATATATATATATATATATATATATATATATATATATATATATATATATATATATATAAGAAAGTTATATTTATTAAATTGATTTGCATAAATATTAATAAAAATTAGTTAGATATAAAAATTGACAAAAAATAAAGAAGTACAATGTTTTTATGTTCAACCTCCATTATTTATAATATCATAATAAATAATTTATTGCTTAGCTGTTCTGCGAAGTATTGCTTGATTGTTTTGAACTTCATAAAGTACATTAATAAAATATTTTTTTAAATTAGATAGTAAAATTATGAACAACTTTTGATTTAATTAGCTGCTTTTAGAACTTTTAAAATAATTTTTTTTTTTCAAATCAAACTCTAAATAAAAAATGTTTATATCTATAGTTTGTTAGCTATGTTTATATCTAATTTATTTTTAGCTATGTTTATATCTAATTTAAGAGCTTAGGAAGGTTAGGAAAATTTTTTCTAAAAATTATTAAACATCCAAAACTAACAAAAGAATTCATTGAAAATCGGCCTTAAAAATTAGATAGACCTTATTAAGTTCTTCTCCCCACCCTCCTTTCCCGTTTCCTCGATTTATAGATTAAACTAAAATTCCCACACCCTTATTCCCCCCCCCCCCTTCCTCTAAAATTATTTCGTATTGTCGTTGAATATTTTCGTTTTTTCGTAATGTCATTATGTATATTCATTGTGTATTTTATACAAGCCATTGAAAAGTTAAAGAATTTTTTTCTGTACTTATATAATTTTTTAGATGTATCCTGAAGCAATTTCGTATTGGTTTGTAAATAGTTCGTTTGATTTGTATCATAATGTTGCACCGTGTTGTTGCATCATACTGTTGCATTTCATAAAGTTTTCTTGAATAGATAATTTAATGTTTATATTTATTTTTCAAGTGTTTTTTTTTTCCGATTCGGCAAAAAATTATAACTTTACTTTATCCAATTCAGCAAAATTTTTCTATATTAAAATTTTCAAAATAAATTCTGTTTGATAAAGATATAAATTGCAGCCTAAGTACTTATTTGTTTTAATTCCATTTTAAAATTGAATAAAACGTTTATTAGTCGATATCTAAAAATTATCATTTTTTGTCACTTTTTATAAATAGTAAAATTTAAAGCAATATCAAACCTTTTAGTAGTAATATAAAAAGAAACTTCAAAGTTATTAGTTAAATGACTCATAACATTTTAAAATGGAAAACAAATAAGATTTCAGCGAAATTTGTGTTATAGCCATAGTTTTATGCTTTTACTTAGTTAAGGATTTTTCATTTGTGTTTGTAAAATATTTTGGCAATTTTACTTATGTACTCCACAATTCATTGTGGACAACTTTTTTGATGAAAGCTTATTTTTTAATCTTTTATTGAAATAAACTAAAATAATTTTGCGTATTTTTTTTGATATAAACAATAATTTACTTCGGTGTGTAAATGACTGGCATTAAATCATACTTTCTCAATAATGGATTGTTCCATATAATTTATATAAAGTTTATAAATTAAAATTATTTTCCGAAAAATAGCTCTAAATAATTTTGGCTAAACTTAAAAAGAAACATAAATTTCGTACCAAATTGATTTTTAACAATTATCCTACGATACAAAAGTAAATATTGTCAATGGCAGCTAAAAATCCCAAAAAACCAGTCTTACGAATTTTCTTTAGTAAAGGTTTGCCATCTAATAATTTCTGTAGAGCACAAGTATATTGCCTTGATTGCTGCAAGATATAGGTTATTTCGCGCAAGTTTTTTTTCTTGCAAAGGTACCTTGAAGCATATACTGCATAAAATTTTGAAAGTCACAATATCGAATAGACCATTAAACGCACAAATAAACTTTTGGGGGCATCCATAAAGTACGTACGCAATAGAACCACTGATTCAGACCCCTCCCGCTCCCTTCCCTCTTGAACGAACCTGTACCTGAATAGCCATTTATGTAGCTTTATTTTTAACGTAAATCAATATAATAATACAAAAATTTCACAAAAATATAAATAAATAGATGTAAGAAAAATCTTTGCGCGCTTAAACTTTATTTTTATTTAATACCTTTTAGTATAAATCTTAGATTTGTTTATTTATTTGAAATCAATTTTCTAAAAATTTGACTGTAGGATTTCAATAATTTTTTTTTTTAACTTTAGGTAAATATGTTTTAAGTGTATGATATTTTTCTGGTCATTGCTTCAACTTTTTTTCCATATAAAAATTTGTTTTTACTGTTATGACTATTTCCTTATATATCAAAGTGCAATTTCATTAATTATTTTGTTATTACTATTTTATTATTACTAATTATTACTATTTTTCTGACTATAAATATATATATATATATATATATATATATATATATATATATATATATATATATATATATATATATATATATATATATATATATATATATAGTCTAATAATAGGAACTATTTATATGTTTAAGGGTTTCAAAAATGTTTTTCTTTAAAAAAATTTTAACGCCAATATTTTTTTTATCATATAAAACCAAGGAGGTTTAATAAACAGGAGACGGTGTCACGTGACTTTTTTGAAGCCAGTTTTTAAAACGGCCGCCATCTTGGTTAACCCAAAACATTACACGGAACTTAAAATCTTACTAAAAAGTTTATTAAATTCTAGACAAATGATTGCACCAAATAGTTGAATTATTCGTCACTTTATGTTTGGCAGCTTATACTATCTTACTAAGAATTATTTGCTAACTGATTGCCTTTTTCTGTTTATTCTAATAACATTTGGAATACTGAAATAGACATTCAGATAGCTATATTTTTTCACGATACTAGAAGATATTGTTTTTCTAAAATAAGACCAAATGTTTGTGAGTTTTAATCTATATTTAAACAATTAAAAATAAATATAAATTTACAAGTTTGTGTGTTTATGTATGTATATATATATATATATATATATATATATATATATATATATATATATATATATATATATATATATATATATATATATATATATATATGTATATATATATGTATATATATATATATATATATATATATATATATATATATATATATATATATATATATAATATATATATATGTATATATATATATATATATATATATATATATATATATATATATATATATATATATATATATATATATATATATATATATATATATATATATAATATATATATGTGTGTGTGTGTATTATATGTATAATATGTATATAATACAAATATCATAAATATATATATATATATGTATATATATATATATATATATATATATATATATATATATATATATATATATATATATACATGTGTCTAAGATATATTGTTTATATATATATTCGTCATTATTAATATAAATTTTTACAACATTTTACCATGAAATATATGACTGGAGCAAGTAGACAATAGTCTCATCATCTTCCCCATTTTAGTCGTTGACAAAATATATATATAAATTGACAAGATATATAAATATATATATATATATATATATATATATATATATATATACCTAATATATGTTGACAAGATATACATATACATATATATATATATATATATATATATATATATATATATATATATATATATATATATATATATATATATATATATATATATATATATATATATATATATATATGTACATGTAAAATGTATATATACATATATATATATATATATATATATATATATATATATATATATATATATATATATATATATATATATATATATATATATATATATATATATATATATATTGTATATATATATATATATTTGAATAATTTTAAATGTATTCCACAAAAAGCCTTCTTCAGAGAACTGAGCAATTATTTAATAAATACATATTTATTAAATAATTTTTTTTTTGACTTTACATGATTTATACTGAGTGTAGGCTAAAAAGTTGATAAAAAGATATAACTTGACAAGACTTGTTTTGCCTATGGATGCAAGAGATTGTGCTGGTGGCATTACTTCTGCAGAAACGTTACGCTACACCAAGCAAGAAAATTCACTAAGTAATAATATATATATCATTAAAATATATTCTGTAAAATATTGACTAATATAATAACGAAATCACTAGAGTAATAGCATATATGGTATTACTATGGTGTTTTTTTTTATTAGTCAATATTTTTATAGAATTCCGTCAAAAATAAAATATTAGGAATTAACAAAATTTGATAACTGGTCTATGTAGAGAAAACTTTACTGGTCCTCATAAATGAGCAGTTGTGTTCAAAGAAGAAGAAGTACTAAATCAGCTTTAAATACAGAAGCTGATATGGATGGAACTAGGTCCTCATGTGTTCAGTAATTCAGTATGGCGCTATACCAGGCACTTTTGAAGCACCAAAGTAATAGCATACTTAGTTTCTTACTAGTTTTATTACTAACTTTTGATATTTTCTTACTGTAATTTAGCTAAGATCATATAGATCTGTTACTTTATAGTGAGTTGACAGTTGCACAAAAAGATAGTAATTTTTACAGTTCAAAAAGATAATAGAAGAAATTAATTTCAGCTAAACTATGTGCATCTCCATAAAACTGTTTTTATATATATGTATATATATATATATATATATATATATATATATATATATATATATATATATATATATATATATATATATATATATATATATATATATATATATATATATACATAAATGTGTATATATACACATAATAAATAAGATATTGAAAGTTAAATATGTATATTTAATACATTTTTTTATTTATGTTTACATTTAATTGTGTTAAACTTTAATAAAAAACTCACAAACATTTTTTTTTCATTCCATAAGATGTTCACACTTTGTAAAATATGTCTAAAAAATGTCTTTACATCTTCTAAAAGTGTGTTTATTATCTGAATGTCTACTTCAGTATTCCAATATTTTGGAATAAACTGAACCCGATAATCAGTTAGCAAACAATTCTTTGTAGTTTATTACAACCTCGGAAACAACTGGCAAATTATTTAATCATTTATATCTATATTTTTACTTGTTTTCAGCAATGTTTTCTCTTAAAATATAAATTTCCGCGCAAAACATAACAATGTTTTGGGTTAACCAAGATGGCGGCTGACTTTCAAAACTGGCTTCATCGCGTTTTATATAAAGTATATACTACGGCGTCTCCTGTTTATTAAACCTCCTTGTATAAAACACATTTCGGAGGTGGCAGCTATATTTTTTTTAAATATTGTTTTTTGGGACGACCTTTTAAGTATGAAGTATTTATTATCAAAACAAAGTGTGAACAATTTTACTTTTATGCTCTAACTGAAATTAAAAATATTAAGTAACTTTAATAAAACATATTGATAAATAAATTTTAAAATATCTTAATAATAAATAAGCTGATAATAATACAGTGCACTTACGGTTCTAATCATATGTTGAATTAAATAATATTTAAAAAAGCCCCATAAAATCAAAATTGCTTATATTGTATTTTGATATAAAACTCTATTTAAAATACTTTTACCTGCAGAAATCAGCTAAATTTGCTAATATTCGTTTGTAATATATATATATATATATATATATATATATATATATATATATATATATATATATATATATATATATATATATATATATATATATATATATATATATATATATATATATATATATATATATATATATATATATATATATATATTTAATTATTCACCTCAACACCGACTACAGTCGAGGAGGCTACTTTTTTTTAAACATAAGCCCTTTCTATAACTCCGAAACATAAACACAGCAAGGGGCGAATTAAGTGATCACGAATCGAAAATTCCATTAAAAATTCTGGTCTTTAAATTTTTAGTTTTTAGGCTCTCTTGTCAAACCCCTATTCCGACGTTGAGCGTCCTTTGCGTCCGTGAGCTTGTATTTCTAGAAAATAGGTGAAATGGGGTATATAGAGATTTGCGCTGCGGTGTGCACATACACCGACTGATTTTTAGAGAGAACATGCAGCGGAGTGTGGAAACAAGGACTGAGGGTTTGGAGTAGGCAGGTTCTCTTTTAAATAAAAAAGTCGTTTTTTCACATTTTCGGACCTTGAGGACAGCGTCGGAATAACGGTTTGACAAGAGAGCCTACCACTGATCTCAAAATAATAACTGGATAGCGCATTCGGAAAAATTTTTGAAGCCAGTTTTGGCCTACCAAGATGGCGGCGTAGTTTGCCATCGGTTATAGAAGTACCGTTTAAAAAATCAAAAAACCTTAAGCGTAATCGATAAAGATAAAATTTTAAACACAAATAAGGTTGTTTTTTTTTAAAAAAACAATTTTTAAAAATAAAAGTAGGTATATATATATAATATATATATATATATATATATATATATATATAT